TATATATATATATATATGTATATATATATATATATATATATATATATGTATATATATGTATATATACATATATTGGACATTTTATGGACGCGCGATGGTTACCCGCCATGGGTGTTGGCGCTCAATGGACGCGCACTGCTTACGGATAGATGGAGAAGCAGGTTAGAGGAAGCCACAACAATGCTGAAAGGGTGGACCGATATGGAAGCATGCGACCGAAGCATTGCATTCTACATATAGAAGTGAAACGACAAGGAGAGAAGAGATGGTGGTTGGCCTTCTCATGCGGGGGGGATGTCAACCTCCTCCTGCGCGGGTTCACAAAAGAAGCAGCCCATGCAATGGACTCTCCAGTAGCCTTTCCCGGTACAATCATTAAAGCAGTTGTCATGTAGGTTGCAGTCGACTGCATAACCGGAGGATGCAACCACCAAGAGGAGCAGGCACAGCGCCAGCACCACCATGTTCCGGGACACCGTCGCCATATTCGACCGATCTCTACCTTCCTTGTTCCCGCCTCTTCTCCCTCTCCTTTTATATACGTCTCTCTTTCTCCTTCCACACTATTGCGCTGTCTAGCTATTCTGGGTGTTCTCCATTTCGGGATTGCTCGTTAGTTGGAATCTGACTATATATATATACATATATATATACGTTTCTCTCTTTCTCTCTCCACACTATTGACTTTTGGTTAATATGTACACATATGTATACGTATACATATATGTATACATGTATATATGTATACACATATAAAATTTTGCAAAAAAAAAAGTGGGCACAGTTAACTTTTGGTTTTGGTTTGTATCCATCAATTTCGGCATTGTTGGAAAAAAAATGTTCTATAATAGCAGAAATCAAATCAAGATATTCTGTTGTAACCATGTCTAGGCATTTAGCGTTTGATGAGAAATTATTACACAGCGGTGGGGAGGGAAGCGAGGGGAAGGGGGAAGGACGGCTGGCTAGTAAGGAGAGAGGGGCAGTGATGCAGGGAGCCGATGTCCACGTCGCTCTTATGGCGCAGGAGATTTAACAACATTCCATGGACCATGCAACGTTCGAGTCAGAAATACAAAAACGACAAATTGGTCTTTTATTCTGATTTCTCCGAACACTTCGAGCAGACCATCATTTCAAATATGCCTAAAGTATGTCAACCCAAAAAAAAAAAAAGAAAGTCAGCAATGTGAAATTATTGACAAAAACCAGACTTCTAGGAAGGTTAGCAAGAAAGACAATGGACTTGCAAATCTTGGAACTGATAACTTACCTCCATAGCCGACTTGCAAAGGTGCTCTACCAGTATTTCGAAGTCCCCTTCAAGTTACCTAAGCACACATTTAATCTACAAAGACACGGGGAACATACATAGAGATGTTGCTGGCGCTAGTGTCGAGAGATGATGTCCGTAGTGATAAATGGAGATGTTGCTGGCCCTAGTGTCGAGAGATGAGGGTCATTTTGTCTCGATGTCGCAATTGCATCGACGCTTATATAGAATGATCTTCATCTCTCGCTCTTTTTATCCATAATATCATGGTCCCTAGCGACGTTGTCATATGTTACCATCGACATCGTTCGTCTCGTTTGAAACGTTAAAATTATTTTTTATTTTTTATTTTCGTCGATAAAAATAATATTGTTAGGATAAATAAATTTAAATATTTTATTTTTATAATTATAAAGATGTTAATAAAATTTTTTAAAATATAAGGATCGAAATATTAAATATAATTAACATGTAATTAGTTTTTTTTTAAGGTGACATATTGCATTTGGATCGAATTGAAGTGTCTTATGGTCACCAAATCGCACAAAGACGCAGAAGGCCAACCTTAAATGCATTTCTCACTCCTGGGCTGTGAGATTACACTCCTTATGATCTGTAAAGAACGAAAAATTACATAAATGGGACAATTAGCAGCCAAAATTTTGATTCCTTGCGATCGTACGAGGAATCCGATTTGATGGGCCAAAGGAGTCGAATCAAGATTTCGAACCTATTACCGGTCCAAATAGACCAAATCCGGTCGAACACCGCGCTGCAGGTCATGTAATTTGCACCAACTAGACTTCCCCAACA